CCAGCCGCCAGCTGACCGAACAGAGCCGCTTTGCTTTTGCTGCTTTGTGCGCCGTTTCCTTGGGCCAGCTGTTTTCTGGGTCTGAAAACAGGTGGGGAGGAGATGCTATCTGAGCATGACAGTACTGTTTACTGTAATGAGAGTTTCTTCTTTATCTGTAGTGCGTTTAGGGAGCAGTACCTGCAGGACTTGGTCCAGTGTCTGGGTCTGGACCAGTCAGTGATGCCAGTCATGAGGGCTTTCCTGTCAGGCCTGGGCTCTGAGGGCACAGATACCTTCCTCTCCATCCTACAGGCTGATCCGCTGGTGGCTGCTGGAGCCACTCCCATCATACAGGTGCTTGACTTTCAAATAAGCAAGAATCCTTTACTATATGAACATAATCTCACAGTGGAAAAGCATTTCTGCAATATTTTCTGTGATATTTAGAGATTTCCTTACAGTTCTGCTCACTGTACGTGTTGGCAGCAGAAACTCGGCTGTTCGTTCAGCTTTGTTTGTCACAGTTCCAGTTATTTTAATGTTTTTTTTAATTAACACTCTTCCTTGGCAGAGTTTGGTAACAGATGCCTTGATTTTAAAAAATACAACACAAAATGTACAATAACTGCTCATTGCTTTTATTCAAAAACAGAAAGAAACAGTTATCCCTTCTGCTGCTATAATAATACGACCCACAAACAATTAATTTATGTAAAAAAAAAAAGCAAGGTTTCTGAAAATTAGCACAAACACAGCAGCTGATTATTATATATGTAATAAAAATATTGTGTTAATGAGAATTGGAGATGGATACCAGGGCTCCAACTAACTATTCTTTTAGTTATTTGATGATTAAGTATGTAAAAAATGAGCACATTCTGTAGACTTTTTATTTAAGATTTTTTATACAGCATTAGAAATACATAAAAAATTCAAATAGACAAATAATTCCGTTACGTTTTAAAGTAAGAAAATAAGGATGTATTGCCTAAAATGCATTAACAGTTTCCCTTTAGCAGATAGTTGATCATTTGTGGCAAATGGATGGATCTACAGCTAAAACAATTCTGCTAACATCATCATGTGAAACTCAATCCTTTCTGCTTCACTCAGCATCAGTACAGTGCAGGGCTGGTCAGATACCAAAGTCTGCTAAATAAGAGATTTTATTTTACAGAACTTGAACCAACTGAAGCTAAAACTTCATCTTGAGATGTTTCGGGAAGAGCACATTATAGTTCTTTCTCTTAAATAGAAAACAAATGTTTTTGTGCAGTTTTAGCTTAATCAGTGATTCTTTTGATTCTAAATAATCCAATTAACAATTAATCAATTAATAAATTAGTCAACAATAATTTCAATAATCGATTAATCTGATGAATCGTTACAGACCTAATAGATTCTATTTTAAAAAATATCTTTCAAACTGATGAAGGTCTCCAGAGTGTTTTTGTTCTGTTAATAGGCCTGTCATGATAACAAATTTAGCTGGATGTTAAACTGTCCCAGAAATTACTGCAATAGGGGGGTGCTGTAGAGGTGCAGGGGTTAAGTCCTTGACGTGGCCGTCACAGGTTTGATTCCTGGCCTGGTGACCTTTGCTGCATGTCTTCCCGCTTCTCTCATTGCCCACTTTCCTGTCTTAGCACTTTCAAATCAAGGCCACTAGAACCAAAATGATAACATTGTTGTTTTGAGACCATTTTCAATTACCGTATTTTCCGCTCTATAAGGCGCACCTAAAAACCTTCAATTTCCTCAAAAGCCGACAGTACGTCTTATAATCCGGTGCGCCTTATATATGGACCAATATTGAGCCACAACAGGTCTAGCAACTACGGTAAGCAGCCGCCGACTTCATTTTCGCCCGTATATTCATTGAAGGTGCGCCTTATAATCCGGTGCACCTCATAGTGCGGAAAATATGGTAATGAAATGGTTCTAGCATAACAATCCAAGTATGCCCTTTCAAAAATCAATGAACTTTAATTTGTAAGGAACGTTTAACAGTGGAACTGGAAGACATTTTAAATATCTAAAATAAACAACAGAAACAACAAATAAAATGGAACCTGAAGTCTCTATAAATGAAGCTGAACTTCAGGAACAGATGTAGTTGAGACCAAAACAGCAGGTTGAAACTTTTGCCATCCAGTCTTTGGTAGAAAGAGAGAAAAGAGGAAAACAATAAATCATGCAAATGGAAATTATGGAGTTTGTTTTATTTTGTCATGCAATCAATTGACTTATTGCTTATTGCAAGCAGAAAACAAAGATGGTGGTTACATTTATTCCTCCACCTGTTCTAACCAGCTCTGTCCTTTCTCTCCAGGATCTGGTGTCTTTGTCTGTCAAAGATGGTAAGGATCATATAAAACATCATGTTGACAGGTTTTTATTTATTTACTTATTTTTTAAATGTCTTTAAACGGATGACTTGTTGTGCCTGTCAGGTCAATATGATGCCAGAGCGAGAGTCCTGATCCGGCATGTGAGCTGTTTGCTGCGAGTGTCTCCTCAGCAGCTGGAGGAGTTTGAGGAGACGCTGGGAGAGAGGCTGAGAGAGGCAGGAGAGGAGAGCGAGTAAGCTGCATAGAAACATTTCACTCAAAGCTGTTTTCATTTGCAAAACACATATAGTGTTTATTAATTCTGATGGCAGTAAGACAACACTGTGGTGTAAGCAGGGAGACGTTATTTGGAGACTACAGGAGCCACCTGGTTTCCTTTAACTCACGCCGCTCGTCTGTCTGATTCCAACCAGAGAGGAGTCGTCCCGCCGCCGGAGGAGAGAACGAGGACGAAAGCTGAGACGCTACCTCCTGATTGGCTTGGCCACCGTGGGGGGAGGGACCGTGATCGGTGATTACTCCTGTTCTTCAGAGGAACAACCAGGCTTTTAGAAAAATAAAGCTGATGTGAAGACTATCCTGTGTTTTGTGTTGTGTAACTTTTTCTTCCAGGTGTGACAGGTGGACTGGCAGCTCCGCTGGTAGCAGCCGGGGCCGGTGCCGTGCTGGGGGCCGGAGGGGCCGCGGCTCTGGGCTCAGCTGCTGGTATTGCTATAATGGCCTCTCTGTTTGGAGCTGCTGGAGCTGGACTGACTGGTAACTGACTGGGCTTGCCTCACTTTTTCCATCTTCAGTATGATTTCTATTAGTTTTTATCCTGATTTCCATGTGTCCTCTCTGCAGGATATAAAATGAATAAGTGTGTTGGGGCCATAGAAGAGTTTGAATTTCAACCAATGAGCTCTGGGAAGCATCTGCACCTGACCATTGCTGTGACCGGTTGGCTCTGCAGTGGGAAATACAGTGAGTGAGCCTCCAGTCAACTTTGATTTCCTGTCAGGCTGCACTTCACATCTTTACAGAGCCAGTCTGCAGTACTCTAGATGCTTATTAAACCCCCTCATATGTTTATGTTTTTATTTTAAGGAAGCCAGACTTTCTTCAGATGTTTTAAAGAAAACAGTTTGTTTGGAGTTCTTTATTTGGACCTTTGTGATTCATTTTGAGGTCCAGTTCCTGGCTGTGAGCTATTGAACAGCTTGATGAAAGTGAGATTTTTTTTTAAAGACTATACCGTAGTATACCGCTTGAGGAGTTTTTTGGTGGAACATATTTACAGACAGGTTTTTTCTTATCTTAAATGTAAAATGTATATATTTTTGTAAGGTTTTGGCTTAATTTCTGCTGATCAAGTTGTTCTTTCAGCAACTGGCCTTTTTTGAGGCTGTATGCTCCAGCTAATGATTAATTACTAAATAATTAATCATTATTTAATTATAATGTTTCACCAGGGGTGAAACGATTAATCTGATTAATCGTTTCACCCCTGGTATGTGCTCAGTACAAAATATAATAAAAACTTGGTCCATCCACTTAAAAGTATTCAATCTTGTTGATTAACCTCACCAGATATCATCTTGTATTACATTGTAAGTTCAGTAACATTGATTCATCTGTCATATTTAAACTTTAATACAGTTAGAGACACAACAAATAATTACAGGAAGTGAACAAAAACACATGGACTTTGATTTTTTATTGATTCATTTTTTATATTAAACTTAAAAGCTCATTGTTGTCTATTACATTGTTCTAGAAAGTTCCAAGAGGAAATTAGCATAAATAATAGAGGCACTTAATGCACAAAATGTTTATTAACTGCATCAACAGCTATTTTTGTATGTGTAACTAAGCAGAAAACATGGAATAAATTCCTCTCTTACATGAAAGCGAACAGCTCTTCCACTAAAACGCACTCAGTCACAAGCTCATTGTCCCTTCTCACACAATGGCTGCAAAAACACTCAGCATTGAAGAGCCACTCAGACGTCCCCTAAAAACAACCTGCGCCTGCTGCGTTCAGGTTCGTTCCAGGCCCCGTGGTCCAGCCTGGGGGAATGTGGCGAGAAGTTCTGCCTGGTGTGGGAGTCGCGCTTCCTCCGGGACCTGGGCTCTGCCATGACCTCTCTGCTGGACGGGCTGGTCAGCATGGTGGCTCAGGAAGCCCTGAAGTACACCGTGCTCTCAGGTACCGCCAGATCTCCAGTTAGTTCAGGAGAAAACCTGCTCCTGATTTGGTCCTGAATCCATTTGAATATATTTGTGACTGTCTCTTCGTCAGGCATCGTGACGGCTCTGACGTGGCCCGCGTCTTTGCTAGCAGCAGCCAGCGTCATCGACAACCCCTGGTGTGTTTGTCTGAACCGTTCAGCTGAGGTGGGAAAACACCTGGCTCAGGTGCTGAGGAGCAGGCAGCAGGTAGGCCCACCTGTCATCCTCTCAGGGCTCAGTCTAAGCAGCTGTACAGCTGTCAGGGGCGTGGTAAAGGGTGAAAAGTGATGACAATTGTAGGGGCCCTGACCAGCAGGGGGCCTTCCATAATTTAATTATTTGTATTTTGTTCATAGAAATAAAATTTAAAAAGTCGGGGTCCTGTCAAATACAAAATTAATCATATTGTATTTTCAAATATTGTTTTTAGCAGTAAAAATGTAATGTTCCCCCTCCCAGACTAAAAAAACACACATCCGTTTTTGCCCTGAACCGCCGCCCCTGGATCTGCATGAAATGGTTTGTTCTTGCTTGGAGCGCTTCACGGTGACGCTGTTCAGCTGCAGTCAGTAGAAGCTGCATCTGAATACAGCTGCCATGAACGATTGTGGCAGTTACTATGCTGCT